AAGTGGCTGTCATAATGACAGATAAAAATATCATTCAAAAATGCAACATTCGAATAAAAGGTACTTTGTTTTACAGATGTTAGGGCAATTTAGGAGCGACAGTTTATCTTCACTATCATTGACATATAAACAGCGAGTATATAACATAGAAACAGTATATAATACCTTATCAATACACAAGGATGAAATATGCAACGGAATCAACGCACAAGGACAAAATATAATAAAGGAGCAATACACTAAGACAAAATTTTCCACAGAATCATCACACGAGGACAAAATATCCAACAGAATCATCACAAAAGGACAAAATATACCACAGAATCATCACACGAGGACAAAATATCCAACAGAATCATCACAAAAGGACAAAATATACCACAGAATCATCACACGAGGACAAAATATCCCACAGAATCATCACAAAAGGACAAAATATACCACAGAATCATCACACGAGGACAAAATATCCAACAGAATCATCACAAAAGGACAAAATATACCACAGAATCATCACACGAGGACAAAATATCCCACAGAATCATCACAAAAGGACAAAATATACCACAGAATCATCACACGAGGACAAAATATCCCACAGAATCATCACAAAAGGACAAAATATACCACAGAATCATCACACGAGGACAAAATATCCCACAGAATCATTACAAAAGGACAAAATATACCACAGAATCATCACACGAGGACAAAATATACCAAAGAATCATCACACGAGGACAAAATATCGCACAGAATCATTACAAAAGGACAAAATATACCACAGAATCATCACAAAAGGACAAAATATACCACAGAATCATCACACAAAGACAAAATATCCCACAGAATCATTACAAAAGGACAAAATATACCACAGAATCATCACACGAGGACAAAATATACCAAAGAATCATCACACGAGGACAAAATATCCCACAGAATCATCACAAAAGGACAAAATATACCACAGAATCATCACACGAGCACAAAATATCCCACAGAATCATCACAAAAGGACAAAATATCCCACAGAATCATCACACGAGGACAAAATATCCCACAGAATCATTACAAAAAGACAAAATATACCACAGAATCATCACAAAAGGACAAAATATACCACAGAATCATCACACGAGCACAAAATATCCCACAGAATCATCACAAAAGGACAAAATATCCCACAGAATCATCACACGAGGACAAAATATCCCACAGAATCATTACAAAAAGACAAAATATACCACAGAATCATCACAAAAGGACAAAATATACCACAGAATCATCACACGAGCACAAAATATCCCACAGAATCATCACAAAAGGACAAAATATCCCACAGAATCATCACACGAGGACAAAATATCCCACAGAATCATTACAAAAAGACAAAATATACCACAGAATCATCACAAAAGGACAAAATATACCACAGAATCATCACACGAGCACAAAATATCCCACAGAATCATCACAAAAGGACAAAATATCCCACAGAATCATCACACAAGGACGACATATCCTACAAAATCAACACACAAGGACAAAATATCCCACAGAATCATCACACAAAGACAAAATATCCCACAGAATCATTACAAAAGGACAAAATATACCACAGAATCATTACACAAGGACAAAATATACCATAGAATCATCACAAAAGGACAAAATATACCACAGAATCATTACACAAGGACGACATATCCTACAAAATCAACACACAAGGACAAAATATCCCACAGAATCATCACACAAGGACAAAATATCCCACAGAATCATTACACAAGGACAAAATATATACCAACGAATCATCATACAAGGACGAAAAATACCACATAATCATCAAACAAGGACAAAATATAACAAAGAATAATTATACAAGGACAAAATATATACCAACGAAGCATCATACAAGGACGAAAAATACCACATAATCATCAAACAAGGACAAAATATAACAAAGAATAATTATACAAGGACCAAATATATACCAACGAAGCATCATACAAGGACGAAAAATACCACATAATCATCACACAAGGACAAAATATACCACAGAATCATTACACAAGGACAAAATATGCCACAAAATCATTACACAAGGACAAAATGTACCACAAAATCATTACACAAGGACAAAATATGCCACAGAATCATTACAAAAGGACACAATATACCACAGAATCATTACACAAGGACAAAATATACCACAGAATCATCACACAAGGACAAAATATAACAAAGAATAATTATACAAGGACAAAATATATACCACCGAATCATCACACAAGGACTAAATATACCACATAATCATCACACAAGGACAAAATATACCACAGAATCATAACACAAGGACAAAATATCCCACAGAATCATTACACAAGGACAAAATATACCACAAAATCATTACACAAGACAAAATATGCCACAGAATCATTACACAAGGACAAAATGTAACATAGAATCAACACACCAGGACAAAATATACCACAGAATCATTACATAAGGACAAAATATACCACAGAATCATCACACAAGGACAAAATATACCACATAATCATCCCAAAAGGACAAAATATACCACAGAATCATCACACAAGGACAAAATATGCCACATAATCAATACAATAGAAAAAAATATACCACAGAATCATCACACAAGGACAAAATATACCACATAATCATCCCAAAAGGACACAATATACCACAGAATCAACACACAAGGACAAATACGGCAACGTATTTGACTTTAACTTTCAAATGTGAGGAAAGGATGTAGGTCATCAGCGATCTGAGATACAGTAAACAGGACTTAAAATCATGGTAGAAACTGAAATCTTACCTTTGAGAATCCTCAAAACGAACAAAGAATTCCATCAACGTGGATTGCTGCCACTTAGGTAAATAGTATTAAATAAAACCTGGCAAAATATATTTTCTCAGAAGACGCAGCTATCCTGAAAATCCTGTAACCTATAACAAACTCTGGAATAACGATTCACCTATGATAGGCAATTCACTTATGGCGAAGAGAATAAGTTATACAAATCTTAATTAGTTGTTTGAAGACATGTTCATTTATTTTATACTTATTTAAACAGACAACATTGCGGAAATGTAATGTTGAGCGCGGTGTGCATTGCACAATACTTGTTAGTAGGATACAAGTTTGACATTAAAAACGGTTTCATTATTCTCTGAACATGGTGCTATTGATTTGTTATTTTACGACCGCTTCAAACAAAATTAATATTGGCAGTTTCGCTTATACGAGTTCGTCCAGCAGTAGCAAGCCATTTTATACAAGGAACGTGTCATCGGCCGCGAATGTATTTGATTACTCGTATGACACGTCCAATTTCTGATTGGAAAAATGTGTCAGTTTATTCATTTTTAATGTGCAGTTACTTTCTTTTAGATCGACAACATCCGACTGGGACAAACATAACAGACTACACTGAGGATATCCTGGTCCGCGCGGTATACTTTACTGACACGATCGTTCCTGTATTGCTCTATCAGGCATAAGATCATTAAAAGAATACCGAGGGCAATCTTGTCCATATTGGTAGTTACATATGTCATGTTGATACATAATTAGAGTATCAACCATGTTTATAGCCATGAATAAATCGCCATTAAAATACCATTGCATTTCGAAATCTTCTTTAAATTATACACGGAAGTCAATCGTATGAAATCAAAAAAATACATTTGGTTAAACTGTTATAGGGTGTTTGTGTGTTGCTATGAGCTTTGATCGAGACTGTCTGGAATTCTCATCTGTTTCTGAAGCTTCATCAGCTTCTAGACGAATTCCAGTCAAATAAGAATAAATGCTTATTAAATAATTACTTATATTACAATTTACATAAACACCTCTATGGATTCAAAGTGACCACCATAAGAAAAAAGAATTATAACGAATTGTTTACGAATTCTTTTAGATATTTTTTTTTTATATAATGATTCGATAAGAAAGCTGGAGATAAAAAAAGGTTAGGTCATTATTCCGTTTCGTTGTTAGGGTCGGACCTTTAGTGTACGATAATGATTATGGATCAAAGTCCTGATATATCTGTGAGAATCTATTTGTCATATAATGGTAATAAATCATACTGTATCGTGCTAAGCTATCAGTTTTATTATATCTTAATAGAGTAACGATTTGGGACACAAATCGACATTAAAAAAAAAAAAAAAAAAAATTCGTGCTTCAGTCATATTTATGTGTATTTAGTCTCAAAAAGTGTTACAACGCAACATAAACTAATCCAATGCCTTTATTATGGTCCAATGGGACAAATATATAATTTCCAAATATTACGATGTATCAAATATTGAATCCATGCGACAAATACTTTTTTCATATATCACGATAAAACTTCAATGAGATGCAAAGAAGGAGGTAGCCCTGATATGAATGGAAACGATCTATGACATCAAAGCAAACCCTGTATAGGCGGGCTTACGACAGCAACGTTCTACACCTTTGTCTGTTATTGTGTTTCGTGATAACAGCACAAAGGCCAAGTGCGGGACAATAAATCCATATGTGGACACTGTGGTAAAAATAGTCGGTTTATTGGTGTCTGTTTTTAAATCACCGATGTGTTGTAGAAGGACCAAGCAGCTTTATGGAACACTGAATTCATTTTTGGCACACTGTATCCTTTATCAATTTGTATAGGTTAACTAATGTTTGTGTCCTACGTTCATTTTTAAACAGTTACTTACATTCCCGTTACGTGCAGTGCAATATTATAAAAAAAATAAGGTTATAAAAAATATGCCAGGGTAAAAAGTGTTTGTATTTTGCAGTTACCTACATTGCTGTTCGTACAGAGCAATGTTGATAGAATTGCTAATAATCTGGATTTAGAAGGTAATTAGTTATAATGCATTATCCTACATTGACGTATATATTGAATAATGATAATAGAATATTAGTATTCCGGGTTTACAAGGCAACGAGTCATGATATCTATACTTACCTACATTTCCGTATGTACAAAATACGGCCAATAACCACACCGAAGTAACGACTTGTCTCATGTCATATAACCAACACTCCATGCTGCTATTCGGATGTTAATAACACGTTATCCTACATTTGTAGAATTTATCTACATACACTTTAACTAAATGAAAGGTAAAGACAATCAACCACCATGTGTCAATTAATCAATTAACTTTGATGTTCGACATCAGCTGATGAACGACGTGGGTGTGTACTGTCCCAGGTAACGGTAAGCCTCCACTATTTCCTACCAGCTAGATACACAGTTACTGTAGCTCTCCGTTGTCCAGGTTGGGTATGTTGTTCAGGTAGATAATCATTTTGACTTACATATCACATATCTTCTCCATAAAAACCCAGTACGGGTTTCGTCTTATTCGGTTAACGCTGGTACACTTGTAATGTACATGCGCAGTAAGTGAAGCAATACGGACTGACAGGATAATATCTCCGGTTGGGACTCGATTTAAACACACGGCGTTACTTTCACGTTTAGTGCCGTCAGTGGCTAGGAAGGTCAGGGATCTCAGTTTGTACCTATACTGTCAATAGACTTGTAAATATAATGACACATGGTAAATACCTTTTCAATTGCATTATCCTTACACGAATATCGATACAGGGTAAGCTATAAATCATTAGTGTTAGGGATATTTGATTATATTATGGCTATATTAGTTAACATAGCAGACAGGTAAAGCAACATACCTGTTCATGTATCGCTTGCCGTGGCATCTCAGGTAAAAATCAATAAGGTTGCTTCCCTCAGGTAAGCGCGTGCTTTTAAATGGGTGAGGATAAATGGAAACGGTGATCAATCGATACCATTGATCCATGTATGAAAACGGTTACATATATAACTGAGGAATTGTATAGTTTTCGCTCCGAGTAATTTAAGATTCGCTAATGGTTTTAATTGATCAGCCGTCACATGAGCATACGTAACGCTAAATGAACTATCCAATACATCAATAGTGCGTTTACTACCGTTTCAATGACAATGCAGCGTAAAAAGGCATGTTCAATATGTAGTGCAAACGAAAAAAGCAGAACCTAAATAGTCAATATCATTTAATTATGATAAATTTGTAATATATGAAATAGGCATAATGTCTTGTGTAATCAAAAAGATCTCAATAGCTGAAATAATTGCAAATATAGAAACAAATATAAAATATGCATGCAAATTTGTCTTTTCCTAATTAATCGATATAGTCAATATTCCCTCGAGGTGTTTAGCCTTTTCAGTGATGTTATATTGGGTTTATGGCAAACGTCCTGATGTGATAGAAAAAGAAATTATTTTGAGATTCATGGTTGACGAAGACATTTAAAATTCATTTTACTCATCATTAAATTTTAAAGTGACCAGTACTGATTGTTTTAAGATTTATGTATATTTCAGGGGTTTAACGCATCCCTCACCTGTTTCAGCAGTAGTTTAATCTAATTTGAGTTTCCAACTAGATGGCATTTAGCATCACCGTTGAGTCCAAGAATGACGAAACAGCTGTATGGGGAAGTATAATTGTATTTTCGGCAAACTGTATCTATTACTTAATTTTAATACGCAATCACCTGTATGCGTCTTACGTACATGCTTAGAGTATCTATCAAATCAATGAATTGTCGTCATTATTTTTTGTCCTTTCTCATACAATAAATCTATGTTTTACAGAGTACTAAGTACATGACTTTTTAAACAGGAACTGTAAATTGTAACAAAGAGACTGCAAAATATTTCACTTAATATTGAAAATGTAATAACTCAGAACTAGTATTTACATGTAACATGTCTGGCTAAGTATCTGAATCAACAGTTCATCTTTTTGATCCGAAAAAGGTAATCAGTATTAAATATTCTCAAGTTGACATTTTAACAAGTTCGAAATATATACAAAGAAGTAACAACATAAGTAAAATCGACATGCATGCAAAAAACAAATACCATCGGCGATAAATCAAGTCAATGTGATGAAGCTGTAAAAATGTAACAAAACATAAAGATGGTACAGAATTACGATATATTCAATACTTTATATACATTTTATTTCAATAGCTACAATGTATTTATGTATGATACGCAAGGTACTCAGATACATTAATACGTTATTAGCTATACTATATCTATGCATGATTAAACGGTAATAAGATAACAAAAACACGTGATATACTGTCAAAAGATAGCATACTTTAAAGTTGGACGCGGTATTAAAACGACCAATTTCAGAGACCACATTGTATTACTGTATTTTATACATATGATGGGCAATGAAAGCTCCAGATATTACTGTATATGTGGTTTAATGACATGTAGCTAGGAAACAGCGTTGTAGTTTGTAAATTATTACAAAAACGGTGATCGTAGTTATTATTTTGGGTATTACTGTGTGATATGTTAGTGGTATTAGGAATGAAAACTATACTGACTACATTTTGTAGCTTTGTAATGATGATATACCACTATGGTCATTTGTCCGTTTATTCAGTAAAACAGATATATAACAAATACAGAATAATATCATTCAGCACGCGTGTAAATAGTCGTGACCTACAAGTCTGGTAGTGTCATTTATATTTGACATCATCACTATGGAGTGTATACAGGTAGGTTTACGGGAAATTTGTCACAAACTCGGCCGCTTCACCACCACTGAAAATAAAACTGATTCATTTTAACTTTAAAGTCCATCGACACAAAAAGAAAACAAAATATGGTAATACATTGTCAAACAATACAAGAACAATAATAGACGGTAAAAATGACAGAATGATAAAGTATGTCAACCCGAACAGAAATGAACAGAAAATCATACTACTGTAGTCCCACCTCGAAATAATAGGCAAATCATTCGATTTAAATAAATCTGAATGTACTCCTATTTGTTTCGACAGAAAGTATTAATTATCACGATTAATTGAGAACACAGCCAATTTCATTATGGCAAAGTTTATACTTCAATTAATTTAAAATACATTCTATTCGCTTTCGCATGTTTTAACACTCTAACGCGGGTTTGTCATATATCATGTCATGTTAGGAATGAACGCTTCTTGTGTAAATAAATGAAATCATTATTCAAGTATGATTGTACTTATGTTGTAATATACGATCTGGTTGTCACGCTACATTTCCAAGTAACCGGTGTATAAATGAAATATTTAAACTGAATTAAATATTGTTTGCGAAACAGATGTAAATCAATTTGATCAATGCATTATCTATGAATGTGTAATTTTTAATTGTTGTTGTTGTATTGATTACAAATTAATAGATGGTTTTCATTCATTGCTGATCAATATTTGTCACAATATACTACATAGAACCTGAATGATATACAACACAATGTTATAAAGTTACACTAAGGGAGACAACTGGATAGTGCATAACAGTAACGAGGCGGAGATCATAAGGTATGTATTTAATTGATTTAGAAGTTCATTTTGAAGGATATTCTATCTAGCATGATAACATTTGTTTCAATTCTGATGTGAATATAGAGAATTCCAAAAATTTAAGTTTCAACTTTTTTATTGGTTTTGTTTTGTTTTGATGTTTTGTTTTTGTTATTTTGTCTGACAAGGAGTTAGCTATACATTTACTCGAGCAAACGTTATACGAAAGAAATACGCTTATCATTATTATTTCCTTTTTCACGAAAATATGGAACATTGCCTAAACGATTCGATCTATGGACTTCTTAATTATATTGTATGGAGCATATTAACTAGGCTAGCGGGTATAATATTTGTTTACACATATAGAATTAAGATAAATGCATGTTACTTCGTCTTTTGTAACATTATTAAGAATTATTTCAAAATGTTCTGACTACTTAAGAAAGGTTCGCAAACTCTAGTTGTTTTGTATGTATCTAGAGGGAAAAAACATAAAAAACGTAACATAAGAATCTCAAGAAATTATGTTTGTAATGTCTGCATACAGCAGGCAAGTATACGGATGCTCTATACATACAGCAGGCAAGTATACGGATGCTCTATACATACAGCAGGCAAGTATACGGATGCTCTATACATACAATAGGAAAGTGTACGGCTGCTCTATACATACAGTAGGCAAGTATACGGATGCTCTATACATACAGCAGGCAAGTATATGGATGATCTTTACATACAGCAGGTAAGTATACGGATGATCTATACATACAGCAGGTAAGTATGCGGATGTTCTATACATACAGCAGGTAAGTATACGGATGTTCTATACATACAGCAGGTAAGTATACGGATGCTATATACATACAATAGGCAAGTATACGGATGCTCTATACATACAGCAGGTAAGTATACG